TATTCTTCTACCAGGAATCCTATTCAGCTTAAGTTTCCTTCCTGGCATTCCTCTTCTGTCTATAAACAGGAACCATAATCCTTCTTTGCTTTAACTCTAACCAACTAAACAGGCTCTTCTAGCCACTTCTCATGTTTTCAGATTCTTTGAAGATCTTTGCTGACTTTATCTACATTTTTTTTTCCCGCACATCCAACAATATGTCTCTAAAATGCATATCCAAAAATGTGCAGAGTATTCCAGGGAAGCAAGGCTGCCTAGAGACAGAAACTGAAGGATGGGCTCCAAGATCATAGATTTAACAATTCAAAGTAGAATGCTCATCCAAGAACAACTTTGCACAGCTCTTAGATACAAAAGACAAAAATTTCCCTTTAAGTCTGCCAATAAAAAAAAAAAAAAACATGAAAAATGATAGAATTTAGACTTGTGAAACTTGTGTACTACACTGAGTAGTATGAACAGACATTTCTTAGAAGAAATGATTACTTATGTTCTTCAGTTTAATAATCATACAATATTTACAGTTATATGCTTTGAGTCTTTGCATGTCTGACTACTAAATCAGTTTGATTAACTGGTATATGGCTAAAACTTTTTACAAGCATCAGATTCCTCTTTATCTTTTATGTTTATGTATTTTATTTTATTAATGCCAAGAGAGGTTCATAAAACACGAGACTTGACAAAAAGATTGCAGTATTTTAACATTTATATTTGGCTGTAAATAAGGTAAACAAGACTTTTCTTTTTTCCTGTCCACATAGTGCAGACTGACCTAGCAATAAACACGTTTGTATTATTTATATGTCTGAACAGCAGTACTTCATAATCAGCTTTTAATTTGCTATGTCTTACCCTAAAGCCGTGATTCTTTTACTCATGTTGCTACATAAATTAACCACCTCATATCCCTTCCTCACTAAAGAAACTATTTCATAATTCATCTTCAACTATTTTCTCTGAAATTTGCATGTTTACCTAATGATCTCATAAAGCTAAATCTGGTCTTGTAAATCTAGGACACACATACTATAGGATGATTTACTATAATCTGTGTGCACCAAACCTTTGCTGGGCCCATCTGCTTTTCAGAAAACCCTTAAAATACTTTATGCCACAGACAAGAATGAAATAACTTAAGACATTGGCTTTTTGCAAACTGATCTATAAAAATAGTATGTAGTAGCCAAGCAACATTATGTGATCTTTATTGTCCTGAATGTTTAAGGAGAGATGACGACGAGACATTTTATCCATCTCAGGGCTGTGATCAAGCAGTGGGTGCTGCTGGTGGAACCGCATGCACTAGAGGGACAACCTGGCGGCTGCGCCCAGCTTCCCACCGAGGTAACTCCGGGCCCCAGGATGTAGCACAATGCTATCCACGCTGAAGACGGCATTTAACCAGTACCGCGGGAGAAGAGGAACATTTTAATGAACATTGACATAGATGATCTGACATCTTACGTATTTACTCTGTGCAAAGGAAATATATACGTTAATAAACATAATTACTTTAAGCAGCAAAGTATTTACGGAGATGTTTTAAAAGCTATGCAAGACTGTCATTTCTTGGCATCTTAAGAATAGCAGAAGAAATACGGTAGTGAAAAGACTTCAACAAATCTAAGCTGTTTGGAAGAAATGTCTATAATTTGCCTCTACAAAACGAGATCTTGAAACCTAATTATTGTTTTCTACCAAATGAGCATAAAACTAACAGTATAGCCTCTCCCCAGGAATAATTGGTAGTCTTGGCTCTCTAGGGAGTCACGTCTTTTATATAAATTTAAATAATTATAAAAAAATACAACCTATAACAAACACAACCTCTCCTCCTCTCTAAGAGCACCATGATGCTGCACCTATTCAGAAAAGCCAGTTTTAGAAAAAAATTCTGCTCCTGTCAAGAAAATAATGAGGATCATTCTCCTCATGCTGCACAACATCATGTGTGTTTTTTTCCCAGTCAAGTGGTTAATCAATACACAGTAAAAATACCCTAATATTTCAAAAAAAAATCATGATTGCATTTTACATACTAATTTGCCTCCTCCTCAAGGTGAAATATGGAATTGATTTTCAAAGGAAAAGGGTCATAGCAGTATTGAAAAATGAGCAATAAAACAAGAGTGTGCTAAATATATTAAATACACTGGATTTAAAAAAACTGTTGGATGACTAAAAAAAGGAAAAAAAAAAAAAACACCAATGAAACCCATAAAATTCAGATGATCTACTTCAAACCTAAACTAATATCCAATATCCTAAGAATGAACTAGCACTTGTATAATCAGCCATGTGAAGTTAAGGAATCTAATTTTCTTGGAATCCTTCTTCTCTCAATTTCAAATTTAACTGGATTGTAATTACGTACCATGGCATACGCATAGTAAACCTTTTTTTTTTTTTTCTCCACTACATACTAAGAAAAGCATAGCATTTATTATTTGTTGCTATAAATCTGCAAATAACAGTCTTTGACAGTATCAATATATTAGGTGAAAAGGTGACCTGAAAAAAAAAAAAAAAAAAAAAGGGAGAGAAAGAAAATAGAGCTCAGGCTCACAAGTAAACGCTAATTGCCTCCAGTATCTATCCAGTAGAAGAGAACTGGGTACTAATTTAAAAATTGAAGCAGCATTTCTTAACTTATAAACAACTGCAAATGCATAATAGTATGATGTCGTTATGTAAACAGACTTTGTATAGCTGACAGTTATGACATATTTATGAATTAAACTTAATTTCCATTTCACTTTACTAATACACTCCACATTACACCTTATAAAGCATGAGTGCTGCACAAAATAAACATTCAGTGGCTGGCAGAAATATATCAGGACCTCACAGGACTTTGCAGTCAGCAGGGAAACACATTTCTTGCTGGGAGATGAATTGCTCATGAGCCCATAGGTGGCAGAGAGTTCCAGTCAAAAAAGGAAAGATACGAATGTTTATGGATTTGTACACTCTTGTCAACTACTACAATATCATATATTTTTCTTCAATATTAAGAATTGATTTTTGTTATTCATATTACGATTTTATAAGCCTCGTCAATGCAATACAAAGCACACAGTAGGGAGAGCTGGCGAAAGAACCTGGAAATGAAAGAACAGAGGCAAACAATAAAAAACATGTTTTCCTACTGATTGTGATTTATGCACTTGCACTAATATGATTAGAAAGCAACTCTTCTCACAAGTAAGATTTTCTGCTCACATATGCAGCCGAAGTGAGGTATTCAGCTACCTTAAGATAGGGGACTATATGACTATAGAAGCTGAAAAACTAACTTTTACAGTCTGACGTCCTTCAATTGCTAAAAATAACAGAAAAGGGTTATTGCAGTGATGCTGTACAGCAGATGAGGACACCCACTGTAAGAATTCTCAGCTGTGTTTAGTGAAGTTTTTAGATGGTAACCAAATTTATGCTGCACTGCATAGTTTTCATTTTATTCAAAGCATTATTGGTGCTGGAAAAAAAGAATCCCACATTACTCTTAAGAAATATGTTAGAAGTTTCCTATTAAAGACAAATCTATCAGGAAAAGAAGAGGAAAAAATATATTTTTAGAAATGAGTTAAAAGGAAAAAGTGTTAAAATTCAAATGCTGTAACAACATTAATGATATAGTATATAACTGGAACAAGGTCTACCGTAGCATTTAAAAGTACCATGTAGAAATTATTCTATGCTACTACTGCTAAATATCTTATTTGCTTTCTGAAAAAAAAAGCAAAGGAATACCTGGTATAATAATATGCAGGAAATCATTTTACGAAGCATGGATCACACACACAAAAAGTTCAGACATTAATGATAATCAGGAGGGGAAGAAAGGAAGACGTGTCTCTGTTTTGTTGCGTACGCATGTGTAAACATACACACAAATTTTAATATGCAGCTTATTAGCAGCCAAGGGAAAAACAGCACTATATCCCAACAAAATCAGAATTTAATTACTAAAAATAATCATAGCAGGAAAATTAACTATATAACACAAGTTACTTAAAAGGAAAGATAACTGAAATAGAAAATGTAAATGTGTGTTTTTAAAACACTGTATCATAGAAATAAATAAAATGTGTTTTCTAAAAAGCATTTATATTGAAATTATGTGATTTTCTTATTTACAGAGGACATGAAATGACAGTAACAAATATCAAATACTCACAATCCGCTAAATAGTTCCTAATTTGCTTTATAGTCCTAAATACTGTGCTAAATATTCAAGAATAAAAGACTATTTTCTTGATTTCAGTTATGATGCACAAAATAAGAGTGTACAACTAATAAAGTTAATTGACCGACAGCATAAAAACCCTACTGTGTGTCACTTTCAGGCACTTTTGTAACTTCAGCAATAATGTGGGCGAATTGTTTACTTAAAAGAGAGGAAAAAACAAAACTCTCCTAAACAATTGAATTTTTAGAAATTTATCATCTTTTTATCTTGCCTAAAGTGAACCATCACTCATTTTAACACGAACATTTACAATACGGTGAACTGGGCCCCAAGAAGAAAAAAAGCATCTCACAGCACATCACAGAATAGTGAAGGCAGTCAAACCACAGAAGACCTCTTCAAAATGGCATATTTTAGTGAAGTATATATAAAACATTTTTCCCAAATAATTAACAAGTTGCTCATAAACAACTCAGCTGGTTAACTTCTAACCATGGATTATAAAGAACTTTGTTCTTTTAACCTTTCTTGAAGGCACCAGGCTCCTGGCATGGCTCTACACAATCTGTGTCTTTGTGATTCACGTGAAGAGATAACCCAGCACAAAGAGCCACTGATCTAAGTGCAGCATCAAACACATCCTTTTGTGCAAGTCATGCATACGGCACATCAAAGTCAACAACAAAAAATAAAACGTTTAAGTCACAGGTCAGGATACACAATACATGTTTGAATGAGGAATGTCATACCCAGTCCAAATATACTTTAAAAGTATTGAAGAGAATTGACATCATACCACTCAAAACAAATACTAAAAATTAAAAAACCACCACCTTAGGGCTGTTTTTTTACATCACCAGCTTTCATTAAAGCCTTAATAGCTCTGGCTCTCATCTCAAGCTCCAGGAGCTCCAGTTGTTGTGCTGATGGCTGGACATCTTCTGATGGAGGAACAGCTAAGGTTGCTGCCTTGGGTTCCTTTGGACTGGATTCTGCCAACCCCAGTATCTCATTCACGCTCTTCTCAATGTCCTTCTGAAGGTCATCTATCTGACCAGCTCCACTTCTGACAGTACCTTCCTGAACATCTGGACACTCTTCGTCATTGCATGGGCCTTCAATGTCGCTATCATATGCATCTGCATTTATGCTGAGGACATCACTATCTTCTCCTTTGCCTGTAATGAAAATGTGACAATCATACAGTGTAGGAAGCCTAACAGGAAGATTTCCCTTTCACCTAAAAAATTGCTGCTGATTAAACTGTTTCTCTTCAGATTCAGAGAGTGACAAAAAAAAAAGAAAGATAATTGAAGACAACTATTTTCTTTCTCCTCCTCCAGTTTTAAGGCTGATCTAATTTAGGCAAGTTTTAATGCACTTTTTTCAGTTTATAAGACAGTGTAGCATAGCAATGTTGCAGGGTCTGTAAAATTTATTTCGTCATATGAATTCACATGATCTGTTTTCCTAATTAAAATGCCATAAGCTTTTATATCACAATGAAGTCCCTGATGTGGGGCAACTCTGGGATTTATCACGGTGTATTATTTTTAAAGTGAACTCAATTTTCAAAATGTAATTCAATAAAGATAGTTCTAAAGTATTTGATGTATTTTAGCAGGACGCTGTAGCTTAACAGGATGCTAAATCTATTAAAAAACTCTCTATCACTATTTCAGATGCACTTAGTTCAAGTGAGTAAAAGAGAGAAAGTTCTGGTATTGGCTTGGCTTTATGAAAAAAGTAGAAAAGGTCATGCAGTAACATAAAGCAAAGCTCTAACAATCCTTCATAACCAATCCCATAATTTAACTATAGTTTTTGTTTTCTTTTTGGCCTCATAGATTAGTAGTGCTCACCCAACCTTTGCACCTCTGAACACCTACCATTAATACTGGTGGGTGCCTAAATGAACTATTCGTAGCCAGAGGACAGTAAAGCTTCTACAACTTTCCTAATTGTGCTTGATAACACCACCATGTGATAATTAATGCTTTGTTGTCTGCAGTCCGTTAATGAGTATTTAGAACTACGTATCATACATATCTATATTTTTTAGAATACATACAATTTCTTACCATGAAGACTCACATAAGGTTCATGAGCTAGTTTATTTCCATATTGATCCCAGATATCAAAGTCTTAATATGTATGTCTTAATATGTATTAATGCATATTTATACAGTAGATAAATCTGTTTTTCCTTAAAAGATAATTCTTTTATAAAATAGAAAAAGAGCCTTAGTCTTTTTGACATACTTTTTTTTAAAAATGTTCTCTTCCTCCGAGCTACTTTTAAGAATTACTAGCTTTTATCATCCATACTTTAGTTCTGAATCTCACATCTGCAGGGCTAAAGTATTATTGATTTATGAGTAATGCTCACCAAGAGCAAACCAAAACCAGAGATGCCGGAAACCAACGCAATATTTCCTCTGTTTGAAGAATTACTGCTTTTGGACAACCAGGCAATCAGAGTTTCATTTATTCTCAGACTATTAAAAATGCATTAATATAATGCAGTCTAACACAGAAGGGACCTTTGGTATTCAAAAACACCATACGGTAGGGTATTCAAATATACATTTTGCTGATTATCTTCATATTACTGACCTTTTTCTTTTAATGTTGCATTCATTTACTGTTTTATTTTTGTAAAACTTTTGGAAATAATTTCAGTACCATTCTTTTAAATACACATGCCCCCTTGAAGACTGGAGTTTCAGTCTAATACAAGCAATTCCATCCCTTTAAGAAAGGTAAAGCATCTTTGGAATTACATTTTTAAAAGTATTTCTTTTAAACTGTTCGTTTTTCTGTGTCTTTGATTATAAAGGACTACTTAAAAATGCAACAAGAATACTGGGAGGCATTTCTTGAAAACATGAGCAAGAACTGAAAAAAATCTGCACACACTAATCTAATTTTCTAGTATTTTCTAATTTTCCTCTTGATCTTTCTGCAAACTCCTCTCAATCAGTGGAAATTCTGTGTAAAGGTCAGCATTAGAATAGACTATCAAAAAAATCCCTTTCTGAAAACTAGTTTCAGCAACAAAACTTAAGAGAAATCAATTTTACTGTGAAGAAAAACAATCAGGCTTTAGAAAAAAAAGCAGGCCATCTCTTTAAAACTGCAAATAGAACTGGTTTTGGTGCAAGTATGCATTTGCTTTTTATTCATAAGAGAGAAGATACATCTTTAGAAAAATATGATTTTCTTCACTTATGAAAAAACCCTCCCTCATGAGGTAAAACAAAAGACAATAATGCTAAGAACCTAGAATATAAATACATAGAAAATATGCATATACCTATTCTTTAAACCTTAAGAATGTTAAGAAAAAATATTGCTTTATCACATTACCTGGTCTACAGAAAGATCAGACTGTTTTTTTCTAAAAAAAAACAGTATTTTTTTCTAACCACAGCTCCCAGTTTTATTTATTCAGGGTTAGAGCTTTTTTTTTTTTTTTTTTTCTTTTTGTTTTTACCATGTATAAACAAATAAATAATCAAATCTTCATTCCTAACCACAGATTACGATTCTGCACAGCATTTGAGTCCAGAGTACTGATTGTTACCCTGACTGAAAAAAGGCTACCATGATTCAGGATCTTAGATATTCACCAATCATATTCACTAATCATGACTTTCCAACATCAAGTAACGATGTTTAAAGAACATGACATGAAAAGAAAGCTATTACACTGGAGAATATGACAAATATGAGAAATATGCCATTAATTTGTGCAGCATCTCCAACATCCCAATCAAAACTGATCAGTGAGAAGGTGGTTTCAATTCAGGAAAATGTAGGATTAGTCACAGGTATAAATTTTACATAGAAATTTAGTTCATGCTTTTTGTAAGATATACTACAGTTTCCAAGTAGTGAAAACTTAAAACCTAAAACAATTTTGAATTTATAGGAAGTCCTCCTCATAGCACAGTATAAAAAGTACTCATGTGAGACGCACACCTGAGGGCTGTCTTCAATTCCTGTGCTCCTCCTGTCATAGCTACTTCAAGATTGATATGTCAGTTTCAAATGCAGTTTTCTCCATTTCTCATATTACCAAATGAACTTTGAACATCAGCTTGTAAGAGTCAAAGTAGGTGGAAGATCAAAAGAAATGAAATACAATAGAATTAAAGAATGGAAATTCTGTGGTCCTGCTGCCTGCTCAATTGAACAATATTTCTCTGAACTAACAAGAAAGTGTGGTACAAACTACAGAAGTAAGCTTCTGGGCACATAACACTAAATCACCAACAAAGAAGAAAATTAAATTCCACTTTTTGTCGTATTTGTCAAATAGTAAGGAGAAGCAAAATATTAACAGATGTTACATCATTCACTCATTCCCATGAAATTTTATATGGGCCAAAAAGCAAGACAATATTGACTTGAGTTCCATTCGGAATTAGAACCATTAGATAGAGCACTCACACAATTCCAAAATGGCATAAAGTACTGTAGTCACACAACCACTTAGGAACACAAATCTTAATTAGCTGATGGACTTAATTTTCCTCTTTTGCAACTGTAATTTTACAGCTGCAAAAGTAATAAAAGTCTTGGTTATGTTCTCATTATCTCTTTTATTTTGATAATGTGCACTTTTCCTTCAGCTATTGTAGTGAAATTCAGGAATATGAAATCTGCTTTTGCTTACCTGTTCCTGTCTAGCCCCTTTCTTTTAGTATCATAGGCTGCAGCTCAGAGAAAGGAGTGAGTACATAGTAGTATTCCCTAAGTTAAACTGACATTCTGAAAATCTTTTTAAAGCTAAAATCTTGAGAGGAACTGCTGTTATAACCCAAAGCTATTACATTACTAGGGTTGACAAAAAGACATATGCAAAAATGACATACAAAAGGACAATGAAGCAGAATCCAATTATCAGTTGGTAGTACAGAAGTGGAAGATATCTGCGGAAAATCTGTCAGTTCCAATATTACTCTATATAGCACAACAAGCACTATTTAAAGTATTCCTCACAAAGACATAGAAACCTTCTTCCAACAGTTTTGTTGCCTTTGCTGCAACATCTTTCTGGAATTTTCCATTTAATTCCCCTCACTAATTACTTCAAGAAAGCTTCACAAAATTGTTCCAAAACGCACCTTTAACACTGAGTCATGAACTGTGAAAAAGGACTCACAGGAAGCAAATAATATCAGATCTTCATAGGAGAGAAATCTCTTAAGCATATGTAAGCACGTATCTTATAATACAGAATATACAAGCATATGTTGTAAGACTATACAACAAAATAAGTTTGCAATATTTTCTTATTGGAAAAGTTATCTCTGACATTAATCCAAAATAAAAGAGAGAAAAACAGTAAAAATTTTCACATACTGGCAGTTGCTATGCAGTCTTCATGTAAGGGCACCAATTGAAAGATATTGATAAAGGTTAAGTTGTTTTCTTATACAACAGGTACTTATCTGTATATCACTCATTTGTCTGCCTTTGCATTTCCTATTCTGTCACTGTAATACTTGATTATTTACCCACTGCATTTTTGCATTTAAAAAGAGAAAATATGCAGCAGAAAACTTTCTCCTCAGAGATCGAAGCATTTGAGTGTGGCACTGATTTCAAATAAAATGAGCTAGTCATCGAGAGAAGTAGGTGTTAAGCACCATTCCGATAGTCCTTAGCTCTGTACAGTCAAGGCAAAAAACTCACACATCAAGATTTAACAGAAAGATTAAATTATAAACAGTGTTTCCCCAGATAATTGTCATGAAAATATCAAAATGGACTACTGCAGTCTTGTCAGATCATCTCAGCACAATTTAAAAATGACTCTGAAAGCACCCAGACAATAGCAATGGTAGCATTAACAACTACCTATATACAAAGAAACCGCAACGACCGAAGTTCCTCATTACCTGAAAAAAAAAAAAAAAAAAAAAAAAAAAAGCCAAAATGAACTTCAAAAAAAGAGCCAAATGAGACTTGCAAACTTTATTTCACTTCCCTCTCTTTCTAATTTCTACTCCTGATGCTAAATTAGCAGTCTTTGAAGAGCTGTGATTTGCCTTTTCAGGCTATAAAACCTTTCAGTTCCACATGTTGAGGAACATTCCTGCAATAAACTTTTTCAATACTTGCCCTCTTTTACAACTGAGCCCAATAAAGAGTCTATAACCCTGTGCCATCTGACTCCTCTGAGGATGCTTCTTCGTGGTAACAGCTTCTGTTCAAGAGAGAGGTACCAACTGCTTTGAACTGGTCACTGCCCAGGATGAGGAATATCACACTTCGATTTTTTCAACTGCATACCTTGTTTTGATTCCTGACCTTCCAACTTGTGGTCTTCTCTTAGAGATGAAGTAGAGTCTATACTGTTATCCTGCCTGAAAGGAATAACAAGATATTTTTGTATATGTATTTTATCATATGAAGAGAACTTTTCAAAAAAAAAAAAAAAAAAAAAAAAAAAAAGGGCTTTTCATCAAAAAAACAAAGCAAACAATCAAAAAAAAAGTGTGGTGGTAGGTTGAGAAAATAATACGAGAAAAGGTAAAAGGAATTGACGTACTGCTTTTCTAATTACTTGGAAAAGTTTTTTCCACTTTGCTGTCTAAAGTAATATACAGGTAACCTTTCTTACTATACTAGTCATTCAGAATAATAATCCTCAGTGGCAGCATCTCCCTAAAATCATAGAATGATTATGGTTATGGTTAGAAAAGAACTTCAAGATCACCGAGTCCAACCATAAACCAAGCCTGCTAAATCACGTCTCTAAGTGCCTCAATCTGCAGCCTGTCTCTAAAAACTCAAGAATGAATCATCACACAACTAAATAATCTGAAAAAATATATAGTTTCAGTTGTATTCAAATACTGTGTATTATTTTATTTTGCAATTAAGTAGCTATTTTCATGAAGGAACTATTACCCTACCCCATCTTTCAGTATCAAATCTCACATTTTTACACAGGCCTGCTTTTTAAAAGCAAATGCTTTTAAACTATCAGTTTGCATTCTGTTCGGAATTTGTTTTAGTCCATTTTAAAATATGTGTTTTTTCCTTCAGTTTAAGCATTTTTAGGCTTGACCTGTAAGATTTCATATGCTTTATACATGCTATAAGGAAGAGATATTTCTTGTCTCCCTCCCACATTTCCTGTGTGTAACTACTTAAAGAAGTTGTGAAAATATAAATAAGAAATTGTGAAATATAGAGGAAGAATGAAGGACAGTGTTTACAGAGGCCCCAGAATCACATATGGAGTCCACAACTTTTTTTCTCCAATAATGGCCTGGAGCCTTTCCCTAAGTTGAATATAGATCTGTTTTCCCAAAACTGTCAAAGATGTATTTTTGTTTCAGAAGTAAAACAGCCATGACAGGATGGAGAACATTGCAATGTTTATAGACAGTTTGGTTCAGAAAGAGTTATTTTGATGGTTACTTTCTTTTCTGTAATAACAAAGGCAACAAATCAACTGACTCTATATTTCTCCTAGACGTTCTCCTACTCACTGAAATACAAATGCTTATGTAGATATGTCACAAATGACAACAAGAAAGAGTAGATTTTAACAGGACAGTTTCATTAGTACATAGCATGTGCAAAAAAAAAATAAATGGTTTGAGTAGAAAATGCTCACTTTAAGTGGCGAAACCCCAAAAGCTATATACTATCCACTAAAACTAGGAATACATTATTTACTATGACACAATTTTCTCAGAACATCTCAGTGGTGTGTTTTTCTTTAAGTCTATTTCTCTATTTACTCATCTTGCTTTATTCCATTCCCAGACAGGGCTGAAAGAGAAGGAACAGGTACAAACTAGATGTACAAGTAGGTATATTGAACAGGAAGTTGCCTATATAGGCTGATCTCCTTACAAAAAAAGGCTCAAAATTTGTCTCTTCACCTACAAAGAATTTATTCATTTTCTTCTTCTTTTAGTCCTCAGATTTGCAGCAAAAAGACTAGATGTATCACAAAATGGATTATAGCCTGTACGTGTAAGATGCCCAGGAATTCTACAAATAAAGTGTCCTTTCCCTTAGGTTAGGTGATTACAGATTAATCACCGTGAACATAAAGGCCCACTGAGAAGCAGAATGACAAGTAGAACCTGAGTAACCCAATCAGCACAAAAAGCACCCCTGACCAAGCTGCTTCTAGGGCTGTGAAAGGACAGCAACAAGCCCAGTGTCTAGATCTGAAACCTCATAAGAGAAGTCAACTGCAGATATTCCCCAGACATCTCTAGATGTCAAAGGGAATTACTGTTCCCACTTACAGGGTCAGGGGTCTGCTTATAAGATACCACAAACGGCACGTGGGGCCTCTGTAAAACTTTTTTACAAGGACTGTGGAAATGAGTTGTTACAGAAAGGACTAAAGGCAGGAAAAGGGGATAATACAAGCCAGTTCAGCATAAGCAGGTTGCTTGTTAGCACAGTTTTCTAGCTGAACACTGCACCTGATCATTGAAGTCTATCCTGTCTTCATGCTAAACTCTACTGCTACCTATTTCTGTGAATGAGCGAGCTCTCCATTCTGTGTGCCTTGTGAAAATCTAAGAGTTAGCAACTGGTCAGACTGCAGAAAGCATGCGCTTGTTTCGGGGATTTTAATATCGTGCATGTACATAGATGGACATAATTTGTATACGTCAAGCTATATTAGCCAGCAAGTAGGGTAAGTTTGAAAGCCAGGTACCAGAGAGATTTTAAAGCCTGGGACCAAATTCCAGAAAGAAACCAGGGTCTGCATGAATATACCCAAGAAACCAGTGGACTAAGAGCTACTGGGGACACCATAGGTCTGGGCCAGCTACTGGAGAGACCTTTCTCTCTCTACACACGCATGCCCAAAGAGGTGCGACGACAGGCTACTGGGGTAAGGCTCCAAACCTGCAGGGCCCATGTGTTCAAGTGCCAAGTTCAAGTGTTCAAACCAAGTAGACTAAGGGGATCTGGGCTGACTGAGAGTCAAAAGCCACACACGCATATATATATATACACACACATGCATATGTGTATATTTATATATACATAAGTTTATACATACACACATATATTCCATGAGTAATCTTCCCACTTGGATAGCTGGAGAGGAGGAACAAAATGACATCACCCTCTATCAATGTTCATGCACATGCTCCTAGCAAATTTGGCAACTCCTACCACTGTTAGTCACGATTCAGCAAACTCAGTCATTCAACTCTTGACCAAGATAAGGTCCCTATGCCCCTATAATCCTTACTGTGCAAAAGGCGCACAGGCTGAAAGCTCTTGCTCCTCCTGTCCCATGCACACACACACTTGATCCTTTTGATCTCTGCTTGACTGCATACAATCAGGCATTACAGTGCTTGGCTAATGTCTTGCTTAGGGAGCTCTCATTTAGGGTGATCAAATTCTTTTTTAGGAAGAAAGAAGTCACAGCACCCTAAATCTCTAATAAAGCTCTAACTATCTAGAGTCCTTAAGCCAAATTCCACTGAAGAATTATAAAGAACCATTTGACAGAAATTTCAGAGTGTCCCCTATTGAAGCTTTTTTTTTTTTAAAATCAGAGAGTGAAAATGAGAGTGAAATCTTTGCCCATTGCAAAGTCATTATCAATGAGTACATTAAAAAATAGTTTTTAAAAGAATGTATCTGCTGTCAGTAAATCATTTTTGAAGCCACAAAGTTTTTTTTTTTTTACAGAACATTTTACTTTATCAGAATTAGTTGGTTTGGATTGGTCAATTTTTTCTACTTAATACGCAGGTATTTTGCACCATCTTGTGGGCAACCATAACTAGTTCAGTGTACAGTCCATTTTTTCCTCTCACCTTGTTAACCATGTTAGCAAGCAACAGTTTTTCAAATCTGAGATATAAAGGAGAGCAAAAATCCATCACAGTTCGCTATAAACTGGAATTTGCAAAGCTGTGGAGGCAATCAGGGGTTAAGAATGAGTTGGTGCCAGAAATGTAATAGATTAAGGCGCTAAGTGCAATAAGATATCATAAATCATAAAATATCACAAAGCAAATGTCGCTGCACTCTTCAAAAAGGGCAAGAAGCAGGACCCAGGCAGTCGGCTTCACATCTCTTCCTGGAAAGGTGATGGATCAGCTCATCCTGGGGTCAGCTCTACTCAAGTGGAAGAAAAGGTGATGAGGAAGAGTCAGCATGGATTCACCAAGGGGAAGAAAATCAGGCTTCACTAATCGGATTCTATGATGGGATAACTGGATGGATGGGTAAGTAAAGAACAGCACATGTTATTCCCCTTAACTCCCAGACAGGCTTTGAACACTGTGTCCAATAACTTCTTAATAGGCAAGCATAAGATGTGATGAATGGACAACACGGTGGATTGGGAGCTGGCTGAATGCTGGAGCTCAAAGGGTTGTGATCAGCAGTGTTGGAGGCCTACAGCTAGAAGGACCCCCAGGGATCCAATCCTGGGCAAGTTCTTCATCAATGACCTTGATGAAAGGACAGAGAAAACCCTCAGCAAGTTTGGTGATGATACAGAACTGAGAGGAGTAGCTGATAGACCCAAGGCCTGTGCTGCCAGTTCACTGAGATCTGGACGGGCTGCAGAGAGGAACCTCCTGAAGTGCCTTTCCCTGCTCCTAGGGAGATATAACCTCATGTATCAGTACAGGCTGGGGGGGGACCTGCTAGAGAGTAGCTCTCCAGAGTAAGACTTGGGAGTACTGATGGACTACAGAATAAGCATGAGCCAGCAACATGCCCCTGTGGCCAAGAAGGCCAGTGGCATTGTGATCCCGCGATGCCTTGGGTAGAGTGTTACCAGCAGGCAGATGAAGGTGATTCTCTCCCCTCTACTTAGTCCTGGTGAGGCCACACTATGTAATGATAGTACTACATCCAGTTCTGGGCTCCCAAGTACAAGAGGAACACAGAGCACCTCTCTTAGGAGGAGAGGCCTCTTTAGCTTAAAGAAGAGAAGATTTTATCAGTGTATAAAAATGCCTTAAGGGAGGGGCCAAATTATTTTACCTGATGGCCAGTGACAGGACAAAAGGTGACAGGTGCAAATTGAAACACAGGAAGTTTAATCCGCATATGAGGAAGAACTTCTTTACTATGGGGGTGACGAGAGCGCTGGAACAGGCTGCCCAGAGACGTATAGTTTCCTCACAGGAGATCTTCATGCCCGCTTAGATGCGACTATGCCACATGCTTTAGGTGTCCCTGCTTGAGCAGGGTGAGTTGGACTAGATGATCTCTGGAAGTCCAACCTCAATTATTCTGTGATCGGCACAGGTTAGGAAAAACAGTACTGGCTGGAGATTGGACAGCTACAGACCAAGATTCCAAGCTGCAGTAGTAGCTGTGTGCCATATAACTGGAAAGTTTGATCAACAGCAATTCTCTTGGTTTAACTGAAGTCTGTTGCAGAACAAGAAGACAGAAATAATTAACAGTAGAGACCTGAGAACCGCATACTTGAGGTATTCGGAACTCTCCAGTACTGAAATGCATCTATTGTAATAGCAATTTTCAGCTTTTGCCAAACAAGTCCTGATGCTTCTGTCCTTCTACACTATTTAAGAATTTTTAGAATCAGCCTGAATTTCAATTTTGAATATGATAGTGACAAAATAGCAGAATAAATGTTTTATATACTGAGGGAAATGGCTGAAGCTTTTTACCAAGCTGAAGAAAAATATCAAGACCTGTGGTTATCAACAGAATGAGGACTTTCACATATGTATTAGAAATATGAAGAGTAATATTGCAATTAAAGATGAGATGCTATATAAGACCTCTGTATTAAGATGCGAGTTTTGCAACTTGGAACCCTCTCTGCATTTGGAGAAGTTTTTCTAAATCCCTGCTACTTTTAGGCACAGACATGCAGTTAGACTTAATTTGATCTTCAAAGACAGATATGTATATTTAGGGAAAATAAAAAGCACTGTATGACCAACATACTCTTCCAGGAAAGTCTGTATAATAGGATGAATTTTGAATTTCTTCAGATGTGTTGGTTTAAGCCTTGGACTTCTACTGATAAATGTATTGTTTAAGCTTGTCAGTATTTAAAGCAAACAAACAAACAAACAAACAAACCCCACAAAGCTAGGATCAAAGAAACAAATCAAGCTGATCTTACCAACAAGCTAATAAATCTGACTAGATTGTCTCACTTACAAGCCCAAGTAGTATTTAAAACAAACAAAAATAACCTGTTCTGTTGTATCATTGATACACGACACAATCTACAAGTGTAGCACTTACAAGAAATACTGACATAAACTGAACTGAATTAGCACTGACAGACAAACGAATTGCCATTCTGCTTTGTGAAAAGCCTCTTATCAGGACAGAAAAATGTATCCATTTAAAGTCAATTATAAAAAAAGTTTTTATGATCATAAGCAACATAAGTATACTTCAGTGACTGTTTTGCTATCTCTTCACTGTTGCATCTTTTATCTGCTACTAATTTGTTGTTGCTCTGGTTGGAACAGATTTCAGAAGTTACATTCATATTCATTCACAGGCAAGTTACAAAAGAAAAATCTCAATTACTAAAGATTACAGCCCTTTAGTTAAAAAAAAAAAAAAAAAAAAAAAAAGGGTCATTTTACTGTTGAGGAAGCATAATAGTGACCAACCTACTAAGTCAAAGCTTAATCATAAATAAAAACAACCTTAACTTTTCTCATTTCACTTATTTTTTGCTTTATTTCTCTACCTTCGTAACAGTTTTCTATTTTTATTTTTTCTTAAGGCTAACATGTTTGACCCCATGGACCAAGGGCTCTCTTCAGGTTTAACACTCCCATATGAAACACTATTTTAGTCTCCCACCATGAAAAAGGGAAAGGTAAATGTACAATACTTCCTACACTGAAACAGCAGGCCTCAGAAGTTTGCAGGCATCTGAAATATTTAAGTTTTCTAACAGTATTGAGAGGGATTTACAAGAAGCAGAGGTATCTCAACCATTCTCTGTTCTTTAAAGCGAGGAACAGCAATCTCTGTACTTTCTTTTTCCTCTTCAACACCTAGTCGATTTTATCTGCTCACTTTCTCATCAGCTAAGTGGTTATGTTAGTTTCTGCTAATTGAAGCAAAGATTAAAGATGCTGATCAGTTTTAATTCTGCTACACTGATCACTATGTGAGAGAATATGCAATGACAGACCATTTTGGTTACTCTTTTTCCTGTACAGTAGTAACTAAAATCAAAATATGGGTACTACAGATATCCTTGATGTTTTTCTGAAAAAGTTTCCTAATTGCTGCGAGGACAAGTGAAAAAGGACTGCCCAAATGCCTTTAAATACCCACTGATTAAAAATTATATTTCTCTTATTTTGTGTTTTATTCATTAAGTGACAATAATTTCCACCTTTCATTCTCCTTTCCTCAACTCCAGCCATTACTTTATCTGCATTTAAATAAAATTTTACTAATTTTTCTGTAGGTGGAGGTTGTAAAAAATATTCTGAACAGCAGTTTTGAAATCTACTGGGGCCAAGGAACTACCTTCCTGAGACCTGATAGCAATGAATCTGCCATTCTTCTCTGGGTTAAGAGTTTTTTGAATAAAGATTTAAAAAAAAAAAAAAAAAAAAAAAAAAAAAAAAAAACAGAATTCCTCCACACGCCACGTTTTTGTGTCATTTTTCATAGCTTCCTTAGCCAAGGAGGCCACTCTGCTTAAAAATTCACATCTCAGTATCTCTACACTTAGGAGAGCCTTTGTGCTTTTAAGAACCTAACTATGACAGGCAAAGATCAAAGAAAATCACTAATAACTTCTTAAAGCCTTTGAGCCAAAGATAAGAACAGAAACTCTTGAACTTTAAGGTCTCTTGAATCAAAATAGTGACCAGAATATGAAATTTGGATTTCTGTCACCCTCCCCATCTCCCCATTTCAAGTTTGTTAGGTCTAGATGAACTAGCCAAATCAGCAACTAAAAGGCATCTTGTCATGTAGCTTGGTGTAAGCTAGAGCAAGTCAACTACCTCTCAGAGTGATTACTAAAAATGGGACTGGACTTGTAATAGTTGGTAGAGTGCGTCTGATGACGATTAACTTTATTTTTCCTCTGAACTACTTTCCTATTTTCTGCCAGAGAATGTTCACCCCATCTATAAATAATTAATTCAGCAACATATTACACAAGATTTTGTGGCAGACAGTACAGCTTGAGACGGAACAGCGCTCTCCCATGACTTTGAAGGACCAGCGTATACTGGTCCTCCCTTTGCTATTCCCATGCGAAACTTACTTCAGAAAGTAGTTGGACATGGCACGGAGCCATCCTACCAGCATCTGCAAGGCCACGAATCCACAGCTGAGTGCATAATCTTTCGCGTGACTAGTTAGACTATTGGCTTATTTAGCAACTGCACTTTGCATGCTTTTTCAAATAAGGTATTGTATGCGGGACAGTACGATACGTAAGTTTTATTTGATGCTTAATAAAGGTCTTTGGCTCATTATACCCGAGTCTGTTTCTTCAACACACTACAAAATCTTTGTTTTTAACAGACAGAACTAAAATACAAGTATGTTAAGAAGTGTTGGCTTTTTTTTTTTTTTCCAAACCTGACAGACCAGTAACATTTCTAAACCTGATAGTCTAGGAATAAGCAATCAGAAACCTCTACCTGAAATCCTAAAATTTATATTAGGACCACTACAGAGATCATGTGATCCGGTGAGTGACAATGCTATTCCAAATGGGACCACAGGAACCAAGGATCACAGAGAAAGATGGAGAGGAAGAGGTATCTCACATGAATTGGAATTACTCTTAGTAGCGTTCATTGTCTTAAGTGTGAAGGAGTTATTCAACTTACTTTAGCTCAGTGGAAGAGTTAAACTAAACTAAACACTTTCACTGCAGGTTAAGGATGTGCATAGGTTCCATCTATACTACAATACAACTAACAGGTAATAATGACACTTCAAAACTCATTTATGTGCCTAAAAAAAAAAAAATCAATGTTACAGACTGACACAGATGTTTTTGCTAACCAGCATTAAATTTAAAAACAGATTACTATCATTTTACCGGGTTAATCACATAGTTAAGAATATAGTGATGGGGTATTTCAGTATTACATTTGATCACTCCTCATTCCAATATCATTCCAATTACAATATCATTCAGTATTTCTAAATTAAGTTAGAAAGTGTTTTCTTTTACTCACTGACTGACTGATTCACCTCCAGTCTTGTCTCCTCCATCTGCATCCTCATCAGTATCAGACTCGGCTCCATTCTTGCCTAAACATATGCATTTTAAGCACATGAAAATTTAAACAGTTAATAAGACTCAACGCTATATAATTAGTCTTACTTTTGATGATCAAGAGAATTATCCTCCATTCAAAAGAGATGTACTAAAATTAAACTTACCCAAATTAAAAAAGTTATTTCTGAAATAGCTGCTTGCCACAAGCTATCACTAATATACAGCCTTTTTATGTTGCATTAAGTTATTTAAATACAGAGAAATGGTTTGGCTGGTACAATACTTTATTCACTATACTCACTAAAGTAAACTTTGGGAAACATGAAAAACTCATCAAAGTTGTTCTGCCAAATTAGAATTCCAAAGTATTCCACATAATTGACAAGATAGTATTATTATTACCAAAATTAGCCCTTCACTGTCAACTATGAGTTCAGTAAAATATTGAAAAGTTGAAATGTCATATCCTAAAAAAGGTATGCAAATGCAGTCTTTTTTTTAAGACACCACTGTATACCAGAGAAGAAAAATTTAATTCATACCTTCAAGAATCTTCAACAGTTTTTTTTCAGATAACAGCTCCAACTGCTCCAAGCAAAGCTTTCTGATTTCCTCAATCGAACAGTTCTAAGAAGACAGTTAAGGCAGACCTCTAGTTAACAATTTTTTTTAATGAATGGTATGCTCCCCAATTCAACCCCACTAAATGAAAAGCTATCCCAGATTAAAAGCAAAAACACACCACACTGGTAGGTGTTTCAAATGCAAGAACTGCCAAAAATCTTTTGAAAGATTAAACAAACAGTATCAATTACTTGACCTATGACTGAGCATTTTCTTTATGGTGAGCATTGTTACTGAGCAGTAAAAACACTGATGCATAGCAGTGAAGCACAAAACAGTAAAATGACTGTAACCCAGATTATCCTTAATTTTCTGTCAGTAGGAGTAACCGGATTACACAACCAAATCTGCACAGAACAGGGCCAAATGCTGAATCCAAGCTCAGAAACCGAAGCAAACATTGCTAGTGACAGAACAACAACAGGAAATATGTAAATAGTTATGTATGAAGTTTGAGAAATGGATCTCATTCTCATTCTTCAGACACAAACTGAAGCCATGTATACAACTCTGCCACAAAGCATACAGGTTTTCCACCTAACCTTGTCTCTTAAAAAAACAACTGGATACAGCCTTCTTCGTTAAGTGACAGGGAACTATGATACCATATCCACGTACCAAAATTTGTTAGCACTGGGTATTTTGTAACACTGATGCTACTGTAGGTATGGCTCTATACCACAAATCTCTTTACTATCTACTGCTTTTGCCTCCACCCACTCCAGACCTCTTTTGTTCCTGCATAGTTGAAAAAAAGGTGAAACTGCATGCAATTCAGTAGCTTGCTTTGAATAAGTATTGTCTCAGGTATACTAACAATGTTACTCTCAGATCAACACAAAAATTGAGGAACAGCGTAAAAAGCAAGCCAGGATTTCAGCAACAGCTGAACAGCAGAAAAAGGATAAAGAACCATAGAACTATACCAAATCTCAAAAACATTCTACTTTCAAGCTTTACATAACCTTGGGAAGTGGGGAGGAAGAGAATATTGCCAGCTCCCCACACATATCTGTGACCAGCTACAAGCAGACTGCACTCCTGTGTTTCCCACACCAAAAGGAAGGTTGTCAAGGCTTGGAGATAAGACCTGAACAGGCATCAAGACCTGGGAAACAAAAGCTTCCTCTCACTGCTAGGGTAGCCTGATGTTGGGGTTTCAGTCATCCCTCACCCCATGACTGTGGGGGTAAATGTCTTAACAAGAATGGAGGAGAGCTGAATCCTGCAGCAGCAGGGACTGCAACAAAGTGAGGAGAATAGCAACTGGCCTCACAATTCCTTCTCTTGGGCTCTTCATGGGTGGTAGCAGCTCTGTGTCAACCTGCAAAGCCCCTCAGGAGAGAGGCACCTTCCTGACACTTCTCCCCTAGAACTGAGTGTGCGTTGGCCACTGAGCTAACGAATGTATGGTAAGATTAACCAGAATTAGTTTCCCTAGTTCATTCGTTTGGGTAGTTACATTTACTATAAATCAGCTAACTTTCTTTGTTGACCAAGTAGTCAGCGCTAGCACAAATTTTAATGTTATTAGAAAGTAAGTATTCTAGCTGAGCTAAGTTTCTGCTCATAAGAATTACTATTCAGTACCATTGTAATTTGCATAGTAAATTTTGATCTTTGAGACAAGTTGTGGAGTCATGCAGTAAATCTCCTTCTCCCCCTCCTCCCCTCCCTAGTGCAACAGGAAACATATGTGGTCTGGGACTTTAAGGTAGTCAGTTGTCCTATGACTTGTCCTTGAGTTGAGAAATAAACAGGAAGATTCTTTGTTGGAAGACTTCTAGACTTGAAAGAGAAGCAGAGTTTCTTACAGAAGCATTCAAGCCTGCAAAATCAGTATAAAAAACAAATGTATACTAGTACCTTTAGGATATCAGGCAACATCTTCTGTAGTTTCTTCTCTCCTATGACACAGAAACACTGTTGAAGCATTTCTTTTTTGTCTGCGATGTAGAAACTGACTGGTTTGAGCGTCACACTGAGATCTAATCCACCTTCCTCTATATCACTGGGTTGCTCAGCTTCTTCCTTTTTATCCCCAGATGGCACATTGCATTTTGCTTCCTAAAATTGAGTGGGAATATAGTTTTCATCTTTACTAGTGAATTAGAAAAGAAGAAAACTTACAGCTTCATTTGTTTTAACAACAGTTCTTCCTTCAGAACTATTTACAACTGTAAGCCACTTACAAGCTTCAAAATACTCTTTCTGCTTGCAGGAGGAAATTATATACTGGAGCAATCTCTAAGCAAAAGAAACTCTTACAAACCCTTAAAGAGGTGTTAACAAGAAAGTACTATCTGCAAATGCAACTGATTCCTCTAGTTGATGCTTCTTTTCATGCTTTAAAGCCCAAGAATATATTTCTCCAAGTTTCCAAGCAGTTAAAGGATCTAGTAACTTAAAATTATCCAGCTAAAATGGAGATTTGCAAACAGTACCCTGTGTGGAACACTTTTTTGAGAAATGGCATTCAAATCACAAAGTTCTCTCAGTAGAGCATATATAACATAGTCATTACATATATATAATGATTTTATGTATTTATATGTGTATTTAATAGTTTTATATAGATATACACACGCATGTACATCTATATAAAATGATTAACAGGCATACATTTTGCAGGTTGCTGAGATTCACTCAGGAGTTGAATTCACACAACCTGCTGACCACCTTAGGAGACAAAACTTCCTAGAATACACTCACCACTCTGAAAAATAAGCCTCACAATGCAGGCTTGTGTCTCGTGGCTTGTGTCCCTTGTCACTTTTCCCAGGAAAAACACAGATGAGTTCCTCCTTGACAGGTGCATGAGAAGCATCCTGCCCCTTCTCTTCCTTGCCTGCCTTTGCTAATAAACCAATAAACCCGGTCTCTCGTCTATCGGGTTTCACACAGATGAATTTTGAGTTGACATGACTGGTCCTCTGTGCACCAGTACAATGTAAGTGTAAAGCGCACACAATACAGGCCCATACACACATAAAGAACCTGTATAAAAGCAGGTATTATAGCAATCAATGAGCCAGCCGAGGACGTGTGGCTGGC